TCATACTCTAATACGTAGAAAATTAACATCTTTACTGTCACTTTGTATTATCTCTACGATAGAATAAATTGTTTTTCAATTTTAAATTTTTACTCATAGATCGTATTGGGGCATTATTTTCGATAAATAATAAATTAAATTAATTAAAAAGTTAAACCTCTTGTATGTGTTAGTTTTTGTTGATTGTAAATGATTAAAATTTTATATCAAATAATAATACATTGCATCAACTGTACTAAATAAAAATAAATCTAAAACAGTTTAAAATGAAGGTTGGCGTTGACCGTTTGACGTTTCTTGGTATTTTATACCCATTGTCATTATTGTCATTATCAATTGTTATTTATGTGTACAAGAATACATATTTCTTTTGTCATATCTACGTTAAGTACATTGTGTTAGTTTTGGTAGAGCTTTTGTTATTTTCGTTCAAAATGCCACATCAGTTTTCGACCACAGAATATGCAAACATAATATTTGTTTATGGATTCTGTAATGGAAATGGTAGGGCTGCTAGTAGAGAACATCGCAGGAGATTTCCTAATCGTCGATCTCCCAGTCATCCAACATTTGGGTCAGTTTTTAATTATTTGCGAGAAAATGGCACTTTTCCTAGTGGAACAGCAGAGCGACATGTAGATGAAGCACAGGAAGATGACATTATGGACGCCGTTACTATGAACCCTACAATAAGCACTAGACAAGTAAGTCGAGAACTCATGTTACTCAATCAAAAGTAAGTAGAGTCTTACAAAAAAATAATCTATACCCATATCACATTCAAATGGTTTAGCGACTACAAGCTGGAGATGAGATCGATAGGTTGGAATTTTGTAGATGGATTAACAATAATCGACCAACGCTATACAGGACACTATTTACAGATGAAGCCCAATTTACCAGAGACGGGATAAATAATTCACGAAATTCACATGTGTGGGCAGAAGAAAATCCCCATGCTATTCGAGAACGTCGTTCTCAGTTAAGGTTTTCGGTTAACGTGTGGATTGGTGTCATAAATAACCAATTAGTAGGTCCTCACTTTTTTGATGGTCCTTTAACAGGGCAGGTCTATTTGAACTTTCTACAAAATATTTTGCCGAATTTGCTTGCCAACGCTAACGTTGCTATCCGAGGGATGTATTTTCAGCATGATGGGGCACCCCCACACTTTTTACTGGCAGTGAGACAACATCTCAATAATGTTTATGGCAACAGGTGGATAGGACGTGCAGGTCCTATTTCGTGGCCTTCAAGATCCCCTGATTTCAATCCCGTTGATTACCATATTTGGGGACGATTGAAGCAACTAGTTTACGCAGTGAATATTAATAACCGACAACAATTAATTGATAGAATTATACATTGTTGTAATACTATTAGAAACGATCCCCAGAGTATCCGTAATTCAATATGTCATTTAACAATTCGGCAACAAAAACGTGTACAGGCTGCAGAGTTCCATTTCGAAAATCTATTTTGAATTATTTTTATTTTGTTACCATTATTGTATCTTTTCCAGTTCTAATTTATGGGTTTATCATAACTATGTACATATTTTTATTTTTTTTAAATTGTTCTTCGTTATTGTTAGTAGTTACTGTTTTTTGTTGTGCAGTGACTCAGTTTATCATTTCAATTAAAATGTTTGAAATTTATAACATTTGTTTAAATTAATTACCTTATAATTTGATACTTCATTATGGTTGTTCTATTTTTGGTAAGATTTAATCGTTCACTAAAAATTTAATAAAAGTGCGACAACATTGTCGCATATGTCGTTTTCATTGGCTATTTATGTAGTTTGAAAATCACTTATTGCATTTTAAAATAAATATATACAGGGTGTAATATTTAATACGAATCCCTAAATTAATTTTTCCAAAGCCAGTCCTGGAATTTTTTAGTTTAGCTAATACCAGTCGAATGCTTGATAGTAGTGTACTGTATCATGCAAAAATTAAAACAATCACATGAGCCGTATAAACACTACAGTACAATGAAATAAATGGTTAATTACACAAATCATCCTGTCAATTAATAAAGAAGAGGAGTTGACATTTTTTAGTGGCCACATGATATGCTCCCTGAGGGACTCTACATATGGTAGAAGTATGTAAAGTTCCTCATGACTCACCCTGTATATTAAACAATAGATGAGAAAGAGCACATCCCTGGCGAACTCCTCTTTTTATTGACATTTCTGCTGTCATACGATTGTCTATCTTAATCGACGCCATTTGATCCCAATATAGGCTTTTAATAAGGGCCACCGTGTTATGGTCTATACCATGTTGTGTTCTGTGTGTTTTACTCGATCAAACGCTTTTTCATAGTCGATAAAACTAGTCGATAAAAATAGTAATATCTGGAGGCCAAATAATGCCTCCCTCTTACCAAGCCCCATACAAAATCCAAATTGATTGTCGGTCAGATTACTTTCGCATTCTCTATATATACGTTGATCTACAATTTTGAGTAAAATTTTCAGAAAATGGCTGAGAATCTGACTGAGACTAATTAATCTGAACTGTGAGAATCTATTTGGTTTATTTTTTTTGGGTTTAGGTATAAATACAAAGAGATATAAGGTATAAGATAGGATATAAGATATTTAGGTATAAATACAAAAAACAAGAGAAACAGAGGTAGAATAAGAGCAGTAGAAATGGAGTTCCTAAGGAGAAGCTGTAGACTTACAAAAAAAAAACCAGAATTGAAAACGCAGAGATTAAGCGGAGAATGGGAGTGCAATCAGACATAATCGACTATATAGAGGAGAAAAGACTATCCTGGTATGGCCACGTCAGAAGAGCGGACAGAGGACGCTGGATAAACAAAATTACAAAATGGAGCCCGATCGGAAGAAGAAAGAGAGGAAGACCCCGAATGTCATTCAGAGACGAAATCGACGAGGCTATGGAGAAAAGAACCCTGCAAGATGGAGACTTGAATGACAGGAAAACTTGGAGAAAACGGTTAAGTGAGGGAATACAGTGAAAACTGTGAAAATTCGTAGTAGTAGTAGTAGGTATAAATGTCGATCTAAGCCAGTCTTCTGGAAAGATTTTCTTCATTGATAAGTTTTATCATCTCTACATCTGGACCTGAGGCCTTTCGTAGCTTTGCCGTATTGATTGTTTTTGTAATTTTCGATGTTAATATATCAAGTATTGTGTCTTGTACTATATAAATTTTATTTTACCGCAATAAACAGTGGTTTATTCCAGTAAAATGAAAAATCAAAGATTAACAGGCAAAAAAAAATGAACATAACAATTATTCAGCAAAAGTGAAATTTACATATCTATGAAATAAGGAATTTCAAGAACAAATTGAACATTTTAGTATCTGGTATTGGCACCTCTGGCTCTAATATCGTCCTTTATTCACTGTGAAAGGCTTCTGGATCGTATATACTCCAAAATCCAAATTTTCTCATTCTTCCGTTAAATAATTTCTCAGTTCATCAAGGTTATCTGGAAGGAAGATATGCGTCTTATGCGTCTTTATGGGTAGTAAACATGCTCAATTGGGTTTAGGTCTGGGCTGACTGCTGGCCAATCGAGAACTTTAATACCAACCTCTTGAAGATATTGCCTCGCTATTCTAGCAACGTGCGGGTGAGCGTTGATTTGCACAAGAACGATATTATCTCTAATAATTGGAACAAAAGGCACTACATTTTTAGGGAGGACCGATCAGCTGTACCATATGATAATCGAGCCACCTCCAAAATTTCTGACTGCTCTTATGTTACACTGAGCAATTCGCTCACCGGCGCGTCCGTAAACTGGAACACGTCTGTCGGATCCACCAAGTGCAAATCTTGACTCATCGGTAAACAGAATATTAGCTCAGTCGTTAATATTCCAATCTTAATCGTGCCATACGCTGTGCCTTCGTTAACCGTTGAGCAGTAGCAGGCATTCTGGTTCTGATTCAAAATTCCCTTAATCTGTTTCTAACCGAATTGACATTTATTCGAACATTACGGACTGTGTAAAGTTCATTTCGCAGTTGCCTAGCTGTAACATGAGTAGCATGTAAGCAAAATCTGCAGACGTAAATAACGGTCATCTGTGGGGTTCGTGCGCCTGAAAGTAACTGGTCTTCTTATGTAATCTCCTGTTTCTCTATACCTCCTAAAGCTCTTGAAATGCTGGTTGGTGGATTCCCATAACACCAGCAACATATTGCTGCGATCGTCCATCTCCAATTAAAACTACGATTTGGGCTGCTTGTTCTGATGTTAAATTACTCATTTTCTTTAAGAATGCACCTAGTTATTGAAAATTAAAGCAGGCATACTGCACAAATCAAATTCTCGAAGACAAATGTCCAAAATATATATTGTCTCTTATCAATGTGTTTAGTTTCTTTTTTAACATAAAACACGTTTCAACCTTGAAATATTATGAGTTTGTACTCACCTAAAAGAGACCATAGACGAGTATTTTAATGTTCTGCTGAAAATTATGCGATACTTTTTGTGATTAGTTTATAATAGACAGACATATTATGCATATAAATAAAAGATACTTTAAATATGGGGTGTAGAAACAAATTTTTATTAGATGTTAGGCAAAGAAATAATTATTAGACATCTCATAACCGATTTTGAACAGTAGACTTTGCTGTTCATCGTCAGGTCACCGAAAAGGTAACTTAAATGTCAAAAAATACAAATTGTTACTATTAGGATTATGGCGGGTAAACTAATTGGCATAATTTATAGTTTAAATATGCTAGTAAACTATACCTATATTTATTATGCCAATTTGGTTATCCGCCTGCATTCTAATAGTAGCATTTAAGTAACCTTTCCGATGACCTGACGATGAACAGCAAAGTCTACTGCTCGAAATCGGTCGTCCAAGGTATGTACAATAAACTGATTTTGAGTAAGTCTAATATCTATTTCTCTGACCTTGTTGAATTAGACTCACATACGTGCAACTCATTCATTATCCTTATTAGATAGCTTATTTATTTTTTAGGTCGAAGGAAAAGAATGAAAGGTCCGACTCGGAAGGAAGAATCCCCTTCTAAGTTGCACGATGGTAAAATGGGTAAGCAGAAGCGCGTACTAACAAGCTCAATAAGCAGCAAACCGATATCGCTGCTGACGACGTACGATGAAGCAAAAGCGACGTGCAAAGCTAGGAAACGAAAAGAAAGACAAGAAAGCATTAGCTCGCTGTGCCAGGAGAGGAAAGTGATTAGATCGAGTTCTGAAGAGAGGCCCGCTCAAAAGAAATACGTAGAAAATAAGAATAGTATTAGGAGAGTATCGAGTAGCGAAGATTTTCAGAGCCAAAGAGCCAGTTCTGTAGAGAGGGTGGCTAGTTCCACAGGGAAAAAAGGTTCTGATAAGCTTTTGACATACGACGACTGTGAACATGAAAAGAGAAGGTAAAATCCTAACTTGTGTCTTATTTACTTGTAATAAATCTTGTTAGTCTTCTGTATCTATTAATACTATTATCATTAATAAAAAACGACTAGCACTTCTGGAAGTACCTCTACCACACCAATGTAAATATTCTTTGGGCCAGTAGTTTTGTTTGTTCTTGTTCTTATTTTAATACTTGTTCTGACTTTTTGTCCTAGTAAAATAATAATATCTGTAATTTTTTTAATTTTAAAACGTAATGACGGTATTAGATTTTGTTCCGATACATGTCAGCGATATGCCGCTTATACGTATTTCGACCTCTTTGGGTCTTCTCAGATCGGTAGAGCTACTGCTCTGAATCGAAACAAAATATATCCCTACCTGGCGAAACCGAATTCAAATTTTTACCACTGTGCCTTCTAAAACTTGCAAAGCAAACAGCTTGATAAATTACTCGCCAAGGGAATCTAAAACATGCATTCCACCTGCCGTTCATCATGGTCAAAATTCGTAGTGAATTCAGTTTTTGGTACTTAAAACGGAGTAAAGAAATAAAACATAATGACGGTAAAAATCGAATACTGTTTACTAAATGTTTAGGGGAACTTCTCTATTATACAGACGATGGATTACATCTTTAAGTCAAATGCTTTCTGTAAGTCAATCAGACACAGAAATGCTGGTCTATTATACTCTAGATCAGTGGTTCTAAACCTTTTCACCACTGAGGACCACTTGTACCTTTCAGAATTCCTACCGGACTACTTAGATATTATTAATATTTTTCAATAATAGGTAAAATGAGATGAACACTGAAGTTTTACTAATGAATTTATTATTTACAAAATAAAAGAAGAAAATACATAGTGAAAGAAAAATGGAAAGATTCGAACGTAAATATGAGGTTCGAATCGTTTTATAATCTCCCTGTGTCCGCTTCTTGTCGATGATAATTATAATAAAAGGTTAAAGTTGTGGAGTAAAAGTGCTGGTTTTATTGACAGCTACTAGTAATAACACAATATGATGTTTGTTAGGTAACTACTTATAATAAACTGTGCTCACATGAGCTCAAATCCCCAATTTATAATCTCACAAATAATTCATACCTCAGCACAGAGGTTATTGCTTCGTTCATACCATACCAACAAACTTTGAACTATTTGCTTACATTACAATTTAATCTAGGCCTTCATTGCCACACTTAGGAAGTTCACTTAGAAAATATATTATTCGGCAATCCATTTAGTTGTAGGTAAATGAACTAATTATTAAAATATTATACGATATGGTTTTACAATGTTACACTTATACACGGTGAAACTATAAAATATTAAGAAGTTAAAAATAATGTGAGATTACAAGTTAAAGGATTAATTTGTGCAAATTAAGGGATTAATTTGTGACTGAACACAAAATGAATATAAAAAACAAAATAAAAAGTCACAGATAGCGCCAAATTAAGACGTTAGTGACTCCCTTGGTCTTGCTTCTCACTTAAAAGTTTCTCAATATTTGGCTCGAAAGAAGTTACGCCAGTCTCATAGGAGCATTCAAATTTAGCAACCTAAATCTGTATTTATTCTTGATGACATATAATGTTGAGCATGATGCCTCACAGAGATAAGTGGAATGAAAAGGAAGAGGAAGTTTCAAAGCTTTTTCACTTAGTAGTGGACTTTCATCAAGTAATCCTATTCAAAAATCTGCAACATTTTAGCAGTGAGATTTTATCACTTTTAATTGATCATCGGATGAAATTTCAATAAGCTGTTCATTTTCCTGAATAAACAGATTATTATCGTGGATGGCTAAAAAGGATTTAATCACCCACAGATTATTTTTCCTCACATCTGTATTAGCAGGGAAGTACTTCTCAAAGTAATCTTAAAGAGATTTAATGTAGGACTTAACCAGTGAATGTAAAACATCCATATTTAAGCCTTCATTTTTTTCAGAGATAAAATCTGAAAATAAGTTGAACATTTCAAACCATCCTTTTCCAGCTTCGGACTCCTATAGCAACATATTTTTCTTAAATGAATAAAGTTTTTTACAAAGGTCAAATGAGGTTTTAGATGATCCCTGCAGGCTTAGATTCAATATGTTGAGCTGTTCAAAAATATCTGCTAAAAAAGCTAACTGGGCCATAAATTCTCCGTCACGCAGTGTTTCCACTAAATCAGGTTTTTTTTTCATCAAGATACATACATATTTCTTGTCGAAGTTCATAAAATCTGGCTAAAACCCGGCTCCTGGATAGCCACCGAACTTCGGTATGTAGAAGGAGATTGGAATGGATGGATCCCATGTCCTTGCATAACAAAGCAAACAATCTCGAACTAAGGGCATTACTTTTTACGTTCACGTTCTTTACCACAGTAGTCAAAACCTTGTTTAGGTCGGGACTTAATCTTTTGGCAGCAAGCATTTCGCGATGAATAATAAAACAATATCACGGTTTCCTTCTTTCCTTACAAAACTTGGCAAGACTATTTTGTTACCTGTTATTGCCGCGGCACCATCAGAGCAAAGTCCTACACAGTCTTTCCAAGAAAGATTTTTGAGCGTGAAATATCCGTCAATGGCTTTAAAAATGTCTTTTCCCGTTGTGTTACCTTGCAACTCAATCGAGGTCAGGAACTCCCCAGATAATTTTTTGTTGTCTTTATCTATGAATCGTATATAAACAAGAAGAATAGCTATATTGGTAATATCTGTAGATTCATCAAGTTGTACAGCAAAAATCTTTGAGGAATGAATTTTCTTTAGAAGTTGGGTTTCAACATCTGATGCCATATCTTCAATTCTACTACTAACGGTGTCATTGGAGAGAGAAATATTTTGTATTTGCTTAGCGTATTTATCATCTAAAATTGTATTAGTTTCATCTACGATACATGGTAAAACTAATTCCTCACCAACAGTAAAGGGTTTTTTTGTTTTTGCGATTCTAAGTGAAAGTTGATATGACGCCTTAAAAGTAGCTGTATCATAAGTAGAGTATTACTTTTGGGATATTTTTTGACGATTTTAATTCCGTCTGCTTCCTCTTAAAGAAATCTACATATTTTCCAGCAAAATTTTTATGCTTTGTTTCAAAGTGTTTAGTTAATTTTGCCGGCTTCATTGCCTCATTACTTAATACCTACGCGAAAATTACACATTGAGGTAACTGGACACCAAATTCTTCAATGAATGTAAATCCACATGCTATGTAGTCGGGATTGTACTTACGGTTAGCAGCCTTTCTTTTAGGGCCAGTTTGAGTTAATATTGTGCTATCACTGGCAATATTACTGGTAGAACATCCTGCTTTAACGTTCCAGACTATCCGTCTGCTTAAAAAAACCCGAAAGTTTCATCTGTTTGATCATTTTAGTAAACTACAATCACCAAGACAAAGAGCATCTAAATTTAAAGAGACATTTAAAGAGCATTTAACAAAAACTGCCCAAAAGTTGAGTACCAGAAATAACATTATACAGAAGCTCTGCGGTACCACCTGGGGAGCATCGGCTTCCACTCTCCGCTCTACTGCTTTAGCCCTTGTTTTCTCGACCGCTGAATATTGTGCCCCAGTTTGGCTACACAGTCCACACGTAAAAAAGGTCGACACTCAGCTGCACAGCACTATGAGGATGATATCTGGTACAATTAAATCAACTCCCACCCAATGGCTTCCAGTATTAAGTCACATTCCACCTCCACATTTACGACGAGTTGACGCACTTACACGTGAATACAAAAAGATCATGACCAATATAAACCTGCCGATCCACCAAGATACCGAGGATGCACGAAATACCCGTCTACGTTCTAGAAAACCACCAATGAAAACGGCAAGAATGATACATGAGGAGTTCAACATCACGAATGCATGGTCCCAAGAATGGAATGCATGGCAAAATAACATGCCCTGTATTACCCACAAGCCACCAGGTTTTGATCTTCCACGTAAAACATGGTCCACTCTAAACAGGATCCGAACCAGACATGGCAGATGTGCATACATGCTACGTAAATGGGGAAAGAATCCGTCTCCTCAATGTGACTGTGAGAAGGACCAAACGATCGACCACATTATTGAAGAGTGTCCCTCAAGATCTTATAACGGTAGCCCTGAAGACTTCCTGTTTGCAACTTCAGAGTCAATTGATTATGTTAATACACTTGATGTTTGTTTGTAATTATTTAAAGTTTGTCATATACCTATATTACTAGTGTTTGTAATTTTGTTCTAAATGTGTTGTAATTGCCATACGATAAATAAATAAATAAATAACCAAGACAAAAATACGCACGCTCGTCACTTGACAGTTGAGTCAGCACTGAGTCACTGAGTAGTGTGCGAGCGCAATCAAAGACGCAGTGTCCTGTACGTACATGACAGCGGCTGAAAATAAACGAAGATAAAGGAACTAACATTATTATTTTAACGATAAGGTGTTAAAAAAATAGGCCGACGCATTAATTTACGTCTCAAGAGCCAAGATTTAAATTGATTATTATTTTATGACTGTTCACTTCGCGGACCAAATGAAAACCGTTGGCAGACCACAGAATCATTGCTCTAAATATTTCTCAGTATTTTGCTTTATAAGGAATATTGCATTTGTAGACGATCTTCAACTACGAAAATCCTGTTGTTCATCTGCTAAATTTATTCTCTGATTAATTAGTTCTTGTAAAATTTTAGTTGTAAGTTTTAGGGTAGTGTTTATTAAGTTTATACCTTTATAGTTTTCTGGCTGTTTTTATCTCCTTTTTTAATAGTAAAATCAGTTCGCTTGTTCTCATTCATTGTTCGCATTCTTCTGGTATTTTATTGTGTTTTATAGTTTTATTAATTAATGTTGCTGCGAGTATTTTTCGAACTTCCAGTATATTTATATTAAGTTCTTCATTTGTGGTAATTTCTGGTGTTTCTGGGTCTAGGTCGTTTGTTCTTCCTTTGCATAGAGCTCTTTCAGGTAGTCAATCCACGTATCCTTTTCTATGTGTCTTGGTTTTATTAGTTCCTTCACCTCCGTTCTTTGACCTCTTATAAAGCGGCATATTTCCTTTTCCAGACCATAAAAATTTCGAAAAGCGTTCCCAGTGATTATTTTTGATTTTTCTTACAAGTGCAAGTGTTTCGTTTCTTATTATCTTATAATTATATAATTATGGTATGCCTCTTGTAATCTATCATTTTAAAGTACTAAATTTAAAATTCCTGATATTACAGATCCCACGAGAGATTCGCAAGACCGTTAGCAACCAAAGGAAAGAAACATCCCACCAAACGTCTAAAAGTAAAATGCATACCACGACCTAAGTACAAGCCTGAACTATCTTTTGATACACGAGACCAGCACAAAAAACTACAACTTAGCCACGGCGGATTTTTAGCCGAATACGACAGCTCTAGAACCGGATTTTTAAAACTACACATTGAAGAAGGAAACAGATCACCTAGTCCAACACAAGAATTAGTTTCGCCAGTTGTGGATTGGTCTACTTTGCACGAACAAGTCGACTGTTCCGAGCCTTTGGTATCCCAGACTTCCAGGCAGGGTCATGAAACCGACTCTATGCCAATTATTGCTTCGAATCGACTATTGTCTTCCCCTAGAAATTCAATCATAGCTACGCACCGGATCTACCTGGATCCTGACGTTCCAAAAGTAACAACCAACTTGGATAAAAAACCGCAGAATCCTTTAGACGAAAGACTACATAAGTTAGCCAAACAAATCAACAGTATTAAAAAGAAAATAAAGAAGTGTGAAGTTGAATTTGAAAATAAACATGGTTACAAGCCCTCACACGTTGAAAAAATGAACGACATCAACATTAAAAAACTGTACACTGAACTGAGTTCGTTGAAGAGAGATCAAAAGCAACTAAATGAAATATCTAATAGTAACCCACTGTTATCTTCCGAAGAAAAGACTTCTGCTAGTATTACCAACTTAGAAATCACCATTAGCGAGATTGAAAAAGTAAGTACATGCTATTATACTCTACTATTGCTAAAAAAATCCTTTATATTCCTATATTATATAGGGTGAGTGGGGAGGAATGCACCAAACTTTAAGACTGTAAACGTAAAATACGTAAAAATAAGTAAAAATAACTCATATGTTGTTATTCGATTTTCATTTGTTTTCGAGTTATAGCGATAATAACACAAAGTTGTAATTTTACTGCTACTTATCACATTGCTGTAACAGGTATCTGTGATTCGTTTAATAATTAGTTAACTGTCATAATAGTGTAGTGTCAACGTGATTTAATGTCTATTTGACAGTTTGTATAAAAAAAGTTGTTGCAAAATGCCACATACTTATTCAAATAGTGATTATGCAAATATGGTGTTTGTTTATGGCTTTTGTAATGGAAACGGTAGAGCTGCTGTTGAAGAATATCGTCAACGGTTTCCAAATCGGAGAACTCCAGATAAAAATGTATTTATTAGAGTTTTCAACAAACTATGCGAGACCGGAACGCTTCCTAGTTATAAAATAATATCGAAACGTGCTCCCCGACAAAGTTTATAAGAAATACAAAATATTCTGGATTCAGTAGAAGATGATCCAGGGATCAGCTCACGAAGAATCGGTACTCATTTATCCATTCCTCAAACGAGAGTAATTAACACACTTCACGAGCAAGGTTTATATCCATACCACCTACAACGTGTACAGCACCTACAACCAGAAGATTATGCCAGCCGTATGCAATTTTGTCGATGGATAAATAATAATCGTCGTGTTATATCCCGCATACTTTTTACCGATGAAGCAACATTCACCAGAGACGGTATTAATAATAGCCGCAACTCACATGTATGGTCAGATGAAAATCCACATGCAACAATTGAAGCTAGTTTTCAGCACAAATTTTCGGTAAACGTGTGGTGTGGTGTGATCGACGGTTATTTAATTGGCCCTTTCATATTTGAGAACCGCCTTACAGGAGAGGAGTACTTGAATTTTTTACAGAATGAATTGCCAGGACTCCTACAGAACATTCCACTAAATATCAGAATGCAAATGTATTATCAGCACGATGGAGCTCCTGCACATTTTGCTCGTCAGGTCAGGCAACATTTAAATACAAAATTTCCAAGGCGTTGGATTGGTCGCAATGGTCTTATTAGTTGGCCTCCGAGGTCTCCAGACCTAACACCATTAGACTATTTTTTATGGGGCTGGTTTAAAAATGAAGTTTACAAGGTAAAAGTCGACACTCGCGATGCACTAATTCGACGCATTAAAAATAATGCAGCCACAGTTAGAGCAAACCATGACGCAATCAGAAGAGCAACAACATATGAGTTATTTTTACTTATTTTTACGTATATTAAACAGTCTTAAAGTTTGGTGCGTTCCTCCCCACTCACCCTTGTGGTGTTATTCCTTAAATATTAGAATTCACATATATAAAATATTATAATTCATACCCGTTTCATTCATTTAACATTTTGTTTATATAAATATATTTAGTAATTTGAATCGAGGACATTCATAAATAACATACTCTAATTAGAATTGGTAGTCAGCACTATTGCCGATCACCACATGCATGGCGTAGGTCATGAACAAACTTGACATACTAATAAATAAACATTTGCTGATATAGCAAGGACTACTATAAAAGCCCCAACAATCATTCTCTCAGGGATCTTAATTAATATACCGACACTATGGCTAGTAAGGCATCATCTATCGTCATCGTCAATTAAGTACTGATATATTTAAGATTAATTAGTAGTGAAAGATTGTACAAACAGTGATTAATAAATGGGCAACTAAGTTACAACATATTATTTACTACCCCACAACATTATTTATTACACCCTGTATATTAAACCTTATATTTAAAAAGAACCCTTACGGGCTAAAAACTTCCGTTAACATTTTGGTTAGTTGCTACCTAAAGTCTGTTGAAAGACTACTTCTCTGGACCATGAAGTGAATCTACTTATAATTTTAACATCCTACATAATTATTAGCAACCATGTAACCAATTAAATAACATTTAAATGATTTTCAGCCACATATTAAGTGGCTTTAAACATGTATACCTAATAGCTGCACTGACGATTTGAAAGAATTATCGCTCTCCACACGAGGCAATAAAATTTATTGTTTAATGACATTAAACACCTGTTAAAACCAAATCTGCTAAATCCGTTAAAATTTTTCAAATTTTGCATTGGTCATGTTGCCATATTAGACTAGGCGGGATCTGTAAAAATTCAGACCATAATGGACATTTTCCATAGGAAGCTATTTTTTTGCTGGAATCCCTTCAGGATGGGCCCAATATCGATAATCACGATATGCGCCAGTCGCAAACCCTGTGCTAAATTTTTTATTTAACAAAATCTGAAAACAATTGAAAATTTCTCATTTTTTTGCTCCTATTTTCGTTTATAATTCGGAAAAAATTGATCCTAGAGAAAAAATTATAAGAAGTTAAAAGTTTCGTTATTCAATTTTACATAATATGTCGTTAGCTAGAAATTGAAAATTTAATGTTTATTGTTGAAAAAATAGCAATAATTGGAAAAAAAAGTACAAAAAATGAAGTTAATTCTTTAAATGTTTTCTTTTACAAATTGAATAACTTTACGAGCTTTAAACCTATCATTTTTGAATCAAAATATATTCTCAAATCATATAATGTCATTATTATGATAAAGCTGCAGAAATTAATTATTTTAAAAAGTTTGATTTTTACAAAAAAAAATTCGTTCGCCTTTGTTTTAACAATTCAAATTATTACTGTTATTATATATTGTTACTTTTAGTAAACAAATATGTATTTATAAATTATTAATAAATAATTGGAATTGTTAAAACAAAGGCGAAATATTTTTTTTTTGTAAAAATCAAACTTTTTAAAATAATTAATTTCTACAGTTTTATCATAATAATGACATTATTTGATTTGAGAATATATTTTGATTCGAAAATGATATGTTTAAAGCTCGTAAAGTTATTCAATTTGTTTATAAGCCTAAAAAATGTTTAAAACTTTAAAAAAATTTCTAGGCTCTCCTAGTGAACCGATCTGAATTTTACAAAAAGCGTTTGGAAGTTTGAGCCTTTCCTTATATGTAAAAAAAATGCAACTATCTGAGGGCCTTATTTAGGGCCTACTATAAATTTGAAGATTTGCGATTTTTTTTAGTAGGCTGGATTGCACAATTATTATGCAAAACCTATCCAACCGATCTTAACAAAATTTAGCACACGTTTTAAACATATTAAAAAGGTTTTCTAGGCGGAATATGGAGCTTGTAAGTCAAGTTTAGAAAGTCAAAAATATTTAAAGGATTAACTTCATTTTTTTGTACTTTTTTTCCAATTATTGCTATTTTTTCAACAATAAACATTAAATTTTCAATCTCTAGCTAACGAAATGTTGTGTAAAATTGAATTACGTAACTTTTATAGTGTATTTTTATGTATGAGAGAGTAATAAAACAATAAATTATGTATGCAAATCCCTAAACTGTTGATACGAGTGACTCAATGAAAAACAGATATTTGTCAACAAGTTTACAGAAGTATATAGGAAAACAATTTTAAATTCAGTATGACCACCAGGTATAAAGGTTGGAGCAGAATAGAATACAATAGTTGTGAGGGTTACTAATCCCTAAATAAGGTTGCCAGTGTCGGAGTGATGGAGGTTAACAGGTACTAATGAATTTGCAAGAAATGTAAGATGTTTATTTTATTGGTTATATATAACCAATAAAAGTTTAATAAGTACCTACCTATTTGCAAAATAAAGTTTAATTCTTTAGATAAAATAAAACGTTTTATTTTATCTGAAATGAGTGCATTCCACGAAGTAAGGGTTTCAACAATCAAACATTTAATTCTTTAATTCCAGGAATCTACGACAGTAATTGACTAGATAATTACCTTCTAAACTTATTCCACAGAAAATGTGATAGTGGGTTTTTCCATTTTGTAGGAAGGTCCAAGTAGCGTATACAAAATTCTTAACAGTTCACTAAAAGTAGGTACTTCAGTTGCAAGGTGCAGTTTATTGTGTATACTAGCCTTATGGCAAATTTGGAAGTGCCGTGTAAACGCCGAAAAATTGGTCCTTTAACAGTTAATGAAAAAGCATTAATATTTAATTGTTTTAAATCATTTACAGACAAACGTTTACGTGAAAGTGTTGATGAGACCGTTGAGTTAGTTAGCAGTACACTTGGTGTTGGGAAATCTACGATTTACAGAGTTATTAAAGAAGAGAAATGTGGTAGTTTTCAAATGCCACGTAATGCTCCAGGGAAACCAAAATTTCAAATAGAATATCATTTTAAAGAAGGACTTCGACGAAAAGTGCATGAATTCTTCTTTAGACAAGAATTTCCAACATTGGATAAAGTTCTTGTCTCAGTTCGAGATGATAAGGATTACCCAGAAATGAGTCGAAGTACGTTATGGAAACTTTTAAAAGAAATAGGCTTCCGCTGGAAAAAGAATTCCAGAAAGTCTATTTTATTAGCAAGAAGCGATATTGTCATATGGAGAAGACATTTTCTAAGAACCATAAAGGAAATGAGAAACCAAAAAAGAAAAATATTTTATCTTGATGAAACATGGATCAACGAGGGTCATACACCAAATAAATTTTGGCAGGATGAAACTGTTACAAGTCAAAGGCACGATTTTGTAAATAACTTATCTACTGGTTTAAACCCACCATCAGGAAAGGGACGCAGGCTGATAATAGTACACATTGGCAGTTCAGACGGTTTTGTTGAAGGTGGTTTATTAACTTTTGAATCAACTCGTACCGGTGACTACCATGAAGACATAAACGCTGATGTCTTTCAAGAATGGTTTGAACAAATGATAGATCTTCTTCCTAAGAACTGTGTAATAGTAATGGATAATGCAAGTTATCACTCCAGACTTATAGAAGGACTGCCCACAACCAAGTGGTTAAAAAAAGACTTGCAGAATTGGCTGAGTTCAAAAAATATTACGTACCATCCCGGATCTCTAAGAAAGGAACTTTATTCGTTGTGTGCCCTTCATAAAGAAAAATTTAAAAAATACGAAATTGATGAAATTGCCAAAAATCGTGGAATGACAGTACTTAGATCCCCACCATATCATTGTGAATTAAACCCGATTGAACTGGTATGGGCAAAGATAAAGAGTGAAGTTTTAAGAAAAAATACCACTTTTAAAATTCATGATGTTAAACAGTTGTTTTTGGAGGCCGTAAATAATGTGAAACCTGAAAACTGGGAAAAGGCAGTAAATCACACTATTAAAGAAGAGGAAAAAATGTGGAAGCTGGACAATATTACTGATAAAATGATCGAGCCAGTTATTATAAATCTTGGTTCTAAAAGTTTATCTTCTGAATCTGATTTGGATTTGTAACAAGTAGCTGTAAGTTTTATATTAATATTTTTATTCATCTATTTAACATACCTTAGACGGTTTTAAAAACTCTTTTTCTCTTTTGTAATTTTTAAAAATTAAAAAAAATGTGAATTTTTTAAAACCCTTTTTAATGTAGGCCAGTCAGTTCTAATATAGTGTGTGATAAAAGAGGTCACTTTTGTTTACATACACATAACACTTTATAACACTGAAATAATTCATTTATTTTTTACAATTATTCAAAGTAATTTTTCAATTAATCTTGAGCTCGCCCATGGAGTGGTCGAAGGTACCAGTTAAAATGATGCTAATTACTCTCTCGTTCATAAAAATAAACTATAACTTCTTATATCATGCAACCCTTGCTTTTGAATGAGAGCCAAATCAATATCGTAAATTCCGTGAAATTTCTAGGTATTCTCATTGACAGTGATCTCAAATGGTCCTTGCATACTGACTCCTTAAGGAAGAAACTAGCCTCAGCTTGCTTTGCAATAAGATCTGTTTCGAAGGAACTAAATTTATCTTCTGCCAAAATGGCATATTTCTCATTGTTCGAGTCCCATCTTCGATATGGGCTTCCATTTTGGGGTTCTAGTACAGCGGCCCAATTTGATACTATTTTTAAGTTGCAAAAAAGAGCAACCCGTTATCTATTTGGTCTCAAACAAACAACTCATTGCAAGACCTACTTCAAAAATCACGGAATTTTGACGCTTCCCTCTTTCTTTATTTTGGAAACGGTTTGTTTGAAATTCGGATTGTAACGTTTATTTGCCGATCCCGTCCACTCAGTTAGTAAAGAATTCTTTTCTATATCGTGCAAAGAAACTTTATAATCACCTTCCAAGAGAAATTAAATCCGCAACATCCTTCATTAAGTTTCGTAACGTGACAAAAATCTATCTCTCAGAAAGACCATATTATTCAGTTGACGAGTTTCTTAATGTATAACAAAGAAACAAAATTAGTATTGTTTATAATTACATTTGGGTGTCTCAAGCAGTGGCTACAATTTGTCTCATTTGTTGTTGTCTGTACAAATTATGTAGGTTATACAATAATTTTACTAATTTAAAATTGTGTTATTCTATTTTTTACTATATTTGTTTTTGTTTTATACTTTTTGTACTATTTGACTGATTTATTTTTTAGCTTTGTCCATAAAATTGTTCAATAATTTTCAGTGACAATAAAGCATATTTCTATTCGATTCTATTCTATTCTATAATTTTGTCTCTAGGATCAATATTTTCCGAATTATAAACGAAAATAGGAGCAAAAAAAATGAGAAATTTTCAATTGTTTTCAGATTTTGTTAAATAAAAAATTTAGCACAGGGTTTGCGACTGGCGCATATTGTGATTATCGATATTGGGCACAACCTGAAGGGATTCCAGCAAAAAAATAGCTTCCTATGGAAAATGTCCAATCCAAAACAGATCCCGTCTAGACTATATCTAGTGTTTATTAAAGGAAACTGTTAAAAGTTTCAATAGTTACATGGTCACAGTCACCTTACAGGTAACTTTTTTCTTGTGGAATTTAATTTTCTATTGTTCAATTGCAGAAACTATCTGCAAAGAGAGAAGCTGCTAATAGAAGCACGAACATCGATGAAATGTCTTCAGAAGAATTGGTAGAAGAGAAGGTTGCTGTTCAAAAGGCTTTATTACTGTTAGAATCAATACACGGGCGACCTAATACCAAAGAAGATCGTGATGTAGTAAGGCCTTTTTACGACAGATATCGCACGTTGAAGAGAATGGTGTCAAAACTAGCGATGGTAAGTTAAACAAATTCAGTTATTTATGTTGTATATGTTCATATATTGACAGAACGTATAGATTATTATCAACTCGATCTGCTGAATACTCTAAACGGGAAAATACTTCAGCATTTTCCTACCACTTGAAAGTTAACAAACACCATCTGAATATCCCTAGTGGTGTCACATTAATTCACAACATACAATCCTTCGCTTTCTTTGATTTGTTTCTACAATTTAAATATTTTTTCACTAATTTTCAAGTTACACTTTAGGATTGTTCAATCTTTGACTTTGCTCACTTCATACTTTTAATGCCCTCTTTCCATATCAATTTTCTTTTTTTACATGTCAATTTCATCTTTAGTTAACATACTATAAAAATACGTCCTCTAACCACAATTATACTCAGTCCGATTTTCTAAACAAAAAAAAATTTATTTTAACTTTCATCAACCATATTTCTACACTTTGCCCATCGAGCAAAAAGACAAAAGAGGGAATTTAAAGGTAGTGGGGCCAAAATATTGTTAGACGGGAAGTGCCATCTTGAGAGGCCAAATTAGGCAAGGAAAGAGAGTCTTTCCTTGTTTAAGAAATCAAATTTAGTTGGGTTATGTTATTGTTTGTCGCAACTGTCACAAGAAATCGTATTTATATTGAAGTTTTTCAACAATTGTTTCATATTTTAGACTGTTATCGTTAATATTTAATTAAAATTTTCTCGTCTAAGACACATTCTGAACATGTGTCAGAACATTTAAATTTGGCGCATTCGCATTTCCGGATATGTCTGCCATCAGAGACCACTTTTTTGTGGTCTCCTTTTCATAACGATTAGATTCCCTCTTTTGTCTTTTTGCTCGATGACTTTGCCTCAAGTTTATTTTATTTTCTTACATTAGTCCATCATTTGTACACTTTAATTAACATTACTTATATAGGCAACCAACTTCACAAGTTTAGCACGGAATAATTCTCTGTAATTTCGCTTTTATTTGATCCATAACTTCTTCTTCTTCTTCTTCTAATGGCGCTACAACCCTTTATGACTCTTGACCTGCTTAATAATGTCGGATGCTTTCCTTTGCCATGTTCATGGTTTTAAGATCCCTCTCTACATCGTCTATTCATCTTTTACGGGGCCTTTCTCTTGTTCTCTTTTTTTGGGGCTTATATCTTTGGCCTACTTTTAAAGCTCGATTATCTAGTATTCTTTCTAGGTGATCAAGCCAGTTTATTTTTTGTGACTTTACAAATTTACAATATCTGCGCTCTGCATTAGTTCATCCAACTCGTGGTTCATTTTAATTCTCCACGAACCATCGATGCATTGGGTTAATCCAAATATCTTCCTTAGTATTTTACCCTCAAATATTCTCAGTTGATTTTCATCAGTGGTTGAGAGGGTTCACGTTTCACATCCATAGTTGACCACTGGTCTAATTACTGTTTTGTAGATTCTAAGCTTAGATTCACGATTCAGTAACTTACTTTTCATTAAGTCTTTGTATGCATAAAAGCACTTATTACCGCTAAGAATCCGTGCTTGTATTTCTTGACTGATGTTGTTGTCATTTATTATTGAGCTTAGGTAGGGAAAAGTGGAGGCATATTTGAAGGTACGGTTGTCTACCTTCAGATTCTCATGTTAATTCGATTTTGTGCACTCCATATATTTTGTTTTGCTTTCATTTATATATAGACCAAACGTAGCAGTTTTTCGTTTCAGTTGTATAACTTTTTCGCTTAATGCCCTCTTGCTGTGGCTTATTATGGCAACATCATCCACACATGCGCATATTTGCATTTGATATTGTATTAATACAGCCATTTATATCCAGTTTAATTGGTTAATAACTAATGAGAACAAATACCTAAGTGTATTTTTTTTTTGAAAAAATGCCTGTCGACATCAAATCTCTAAATCGTTAAGTCTTTAAGTTATCAGTAAAATAATGAGTTTGATATTTTGATTTTTTATTTAAAAATAGTTGCACTAAAAAATTTTCTCCTCTTTTTTTCCCTCTTTTATGAGGGGGGGGGGAGCGGTGATCCAAATGTTCGAAACATACCTCGGTCCTAGAAGATGGGCAGAACCGCCTTCCAGCCTTGGTTATGCAAAACTCCTCCGGCGTGGCCACGATGATATCCAAGACCGCGCGCTAGGGTTGTTGGGACATCATCGCCGTCAATGCCAGAGACCTACCCGCTAAAAAAACACAATTACCGGCCGGATCGCCCTGATTGGGACGCAACATCGGCACGGCATTCACCCGATCTTTCATTCACGCACAATTCTCACGCATTCTAGTACTTCCTCACTACGATGGAATTCTTCTCTCCCTCTATTCCTGCCTATTCATGTTAAATCTCACCCCTTCTCATTCTACCTTATCTTCTTGCTTGGTCCTGGGCAACCTGCCTACCTTCGAGTCGCCTTGCTTCTTGTTACTTTCTTTCCAACGTTTTCCTCACATATCTCTGAACTACTCTCCACCGATCTGACCTAAGCATCTCTTCCACCAGTTCCGTGACTGATTTCACGGAAGCTCCCTATTTCCTAGCTCTCTCTCTCTCCCTCTCTCTCACTCTCTCCCTCTCTCTCTCTCTCTCTCTCTCTCTCTCTCTCTCTCTCTCTCTCTCTCTCTCTCTCTTAAGCAGGCTCCTCTCAACTATCCATCTATCGCATACCAATATAGTGTGTGAGATAGTGTCCAATATTTCACAATACAGGCATTTGTCATTTTCTGCCTGTCCAAATCTGTAAAGGTATGTCCTGAAGCAACCATGTATTGTGAGAATCTGCGTCAGGAAATAATCCAAACGCCGGTGCCCGCAATCCTTTTGTAGTCTAGCTCTCATACTCCACATTTCAACTGTCAGACCCGTCTATATACTTGTGTCGACTAAAAAACTAATTTAATTGGCCTAATAGTAGATTTGTCGTACATTTACCATACATTTGAAAGTATACGTACGTTTGCTTATGATATTTTACTTTCTTTACAGACAAATTTAACAGGAAACGAACTAGCAACAATTCATGAAAACGAAGCCATGAATTTCGTCACACCAACCTCTTCATCTCAATCAAACGATACAGAATCAGAAAAAACGATCCTGCCTTCCACTAGCACGGATAGCGATACCGACAGCTCTGTCGGTGATAATCTCCATTCCATGACCAAAGACGAACTAATCGAGCAGCTGAAGATCGTAATGGAAGAGAGGAAGGAACTGAAAAGGAAATTAAAGCAGTTCGAACTGGAGGTACAGTTAAAGACTGGAAAGATGATCCAAAAAGAGGAGAAGGCTCCAATGGAATCTTCTTACATAGCATACAAAAAAGTAAAGGCAAAGTCTCGTCTGCTGGAGGCTCTTGTCGGGAAATTAAGCTAAAATTAACACTAAATTTAGTGTTTTGAATAGACGTTTTTATCCTGCTTTGTCCTTTTATTATAATTTTATATGTATGTATCTCCATGTATGTGAAATATATGAAATAAAGTATAAATTTTAGTATCCTTATTTTTATTTTTATCTATTCTGTTTTCAAGGAAACAAAAAGCAATGTATTAACTACAGGGGAATAACACTCCTAAACACCACCTACAAAATCCTTGCAAACATCCTGCTAGAAAGAACCAAAACATACACAGAAGAAATCGTTGGAGATTATCAATGCGGATTTAGACCGGGCCGCTCTACAATTGACCAGATATTCACAATAAAACAGATAATGGAAAAATGCTGGGAGTTTGATCCTGAGCTTCATCAGATGTTCATAGATTTTAAACAAGCACGATATAGATCTAAGGATGAAGGAGACTTTCGTAAGATTTGAGAAGGAAGCACAGGAGATTGGGCTCCAAATCAACGAAAACAAGACGAAATATATGTATATAAACCGCAATAACCAAAGCAGAGACAGAATCGGTCAGAAAATTATCATCGATGACTTTAACTTTGAGCGCGTTAGAGAATTCAAGTATCTTGGAACAACAATAACTGAAGACAATAACGGATCACAAGAAATAAACAACAGGATTCAGGCCGGCAACAGATGTATTTTTGCCCTCCAAAACCTTATAAAATCAAAACAACTAACACGACGTACGAAGATACAGGTCTATAAAACAATCATACGACCCGTTGTGATGTATGGAAGCGAAACGTGGACGATAACAAAGGCAAATGAAGAGAGACTACGTGTTTGGGAAAGAAAAATCCTAAGGAAGATCTTTGGTCCGGTGCTTGATGAAGCATCAGGACAATATAGGATAAGAACTAATAAAGAGCTTGAAGAACTTTACCCAGACGCAAACATCATAAAAGAAATAAAGTCCAGAAGACTCCAATGGGCAGGACACCTCAGAAGACATTCTGACGAACGAACAGTAAGACTGGTGTGGGAGGAAGTCCCAACTGGAAGGAGACCACGTGGACGCCCTCGTCTCCGGTGGTGAGATAATATAGCAGGAGACCTAAGCACTATGGGCGTGGAGAATTGGATGGAGGTTGCTCAAGACAGAAAACAGTGGAGGCATGTTGTCGAGTCGGCTAAAACCCACGAAGGGTTGTAACGCCACGGAGTAAGTAAGTAAGTATTCTGTTTTCATTAAGATATTAGATTAAAGACTTCTATACCTGCCAAAGACCACTAGACAATTTCCTGAAACGAGTAAGCACTCTCACAAACCAGGAATCTGAAGTAATTTTATCCATCACATGTTAGAAATAATTATTGCTTTTTACAGTAAAAATTAAGTATAATGGGTATTTTAAATAGATTGTATGAAATTAAGGGGTTCATATAATTTGAGTAATTTATTGAGTTATATTTATAATTTTGAATGAGCAGCTTTAATGGAAATACAGAATCATCGGTAACTGAAGCACATACCCAATAGCAGAAGTAAAATAGAACGACAATAAACGAGAGACGATACAAAACAAGTAATCATCAGTGACGGCTCGTGGCTTGAGAGACGAGGTCGGCAAGGTATTTTTTGTCTCCTCAGATAGGTGTAATAAAGACTTCAATCATCATAGGTTTTTTTCTTTAAATTTAGAACCTAAACATGTTTATAAATTAATTCTAGTTTACGTTGTTTGGAAGTAGCAAAATGGGTTATAACGTCATCGTAAAATTTATTAGAGTTTTGGAGAGACTTTAAAAGTTTTTTTTCTATTGACATTTGAGACAAGCTTGACATTCGCTCTTGTTTCATGGTGTTTCGAAAAAACGTTTTGATTCTTTTGAGACAAGAGAAATCTCGTTTATTTCAAATCAAATACAACAGTTTGTTGTAATGAATTGCAGTATATAAAATTATACATATCTTGTAACCACCTTCCGAAAATATTTGGATTAGCAATAAAACTTTTAATTCATTTTTTAATTTTATTTTGTTAAATAATGATGGATAATTTTTAATCAACCTATCTAATATATATCTTAGAAATTCTTTGGCGTAACTTTTAAATTTTGAATCGTCAAAGAGATCAAAAAATTGCAAAACTTCAAAATTCGAAAAACGAGTATCTATTTGCATAATAATACCTAGTATCCAAAATTTAAAAATATACTCGTTTTTCGAAATCTGTTTCTGTGTCATGCCTTTGTCTTTTTTTTTTTGGGGGTTCGGAAATATCAAGCGAGTCCAAAACGTCACTGTCTACTGGAAATTACTATCATTACGAAATTAATTACGATTAATTACGAAAATCTCTGAGATTTTGCACTAGTTTTGTTATTCTAGTTTTGGAATGAATACTGTCAGTTAACCGATTTTGAACAACTTTGAATATTAAATCGGTTTGGGTAAACACTTTCCTAAAAATATTTAAAAGTATGTTAAAAGAGTAATCATTTAATAAAGTTTTCAAACCGATTGCTTCACGGATCGAGATATCATCAATTTCAAAATCGTCGCATTCAATAATAAAATCAAAAACTTCCAAAAGCTGTTCAAGAACATTTGCTATAGTGAAAAAATAACCGAAATTTTAAAATTCTGTTTAGGGGAACTTCAGAAAAATGAAGCAAATCCGCTTAAACTGCCAAAAAAAGACCATGTTTTAATTTTTTTACATGTATCCTGCAAAACTAAATTCATTCTATGCGCATGACATAAATAGTAAATAAATAAAGCTTGCGGTGCAATAGTTTTAACTTTTGCCTGGAGACCATTCAATTCACCAGACATCACGGCAGCGCCGTCATAATTTTGCCCTATCAATTTATTTTTGATAGTAAAAATTTTTTATCTGTCCTTTAAAACACCAAAAATTTATTCTGCCTTATGGCTTTTATTTACCTCTGTAAAATATAAAAATCTCTCATAAATATTACCACGTAACGCGTATCGAACAACAATATTGATAATTGTGAATGGCATGATATGTCGGTAGTTTCATCTACTTCTAGTGAAAATCAAATGGTTTTATAAATCTCAGATTCAATAACGTTACTTAAAATATAACTAATTGATTCTATTAATCTGGATTGTTTTAGATACACCGCTAAATGTCTTCAAATCAGAAAGTAAATTAGAAAATTCCAAATCGTATTTCTTAAACATCTTTATTACTTCTCTATAATTGCCTTGATTTAACGAATGCTCCGATTCATCGTGTCCAATATCAAATCTTCAGAATTCATATCCGAAATTGAACAGTATAATTTTATCACCCAGTAGACCGAATGAATTTATTTGTTATTAAATACACACACTAGTTAATTAGGTTACATACACATTTGGTCAATTATCAATAATATAATTTGGACATCAGTCAAAAGTGCTGACGAAAGTTAAAGAATTTATATAAATTAGATACACATACACACGCGAGGTCCGCGAATATATTGACCCAATTAAAACTTATATAAAACTAAGATCTCTTGCCTAGAGAAGCATTCAATCAATATTCACTCAACAAACTTGATAGTCTTCAACGATCAACTTCATCAGTCTCTACTCAAAGTAATCCCGGGTAAAACACCCATAGTATACGTCTGATCAATAAACTCTGCTACTATTATTTGGTGTTTCCATTACAACTGAACGAACATCTTTACTGAGCCAACGAAAGGGAATTTGTTCAATCGTGTCCCCTAAATATTAATTCCTGACAACTTAAAAAAATTACAATATCAATTAAACAACGTAAAACTGCGTGATTATTTTTTACAGTTTCGCTTTAATAGCATTTTCACTTTGGGCATTATCTAATGAAACATAAATATATTGTTTTTCAAATAAATTTAATTTAATCTGGCTGTATGTATGATCTTTCGAAATATGTTTATGTAAAACCCTAAATAATTCCTTTAAATTATCGTAACCAGATTCACACCACGGATTTTGATGCACCTATTTGTCGAAAATAAAATGCAAGGCCAACAGAAAAGTTTGTTTTTTATTTCACTCCCGGTAAGCCATGAGTAATTGCTATACCAATTATCTGAAAATGATCTATTACTTCCCTTACCCCCTCTGTACTAATATTTATAAGCCGGGTAATTTTAGACAAAGGACGCCCCATATTTTTAATAACAATTTGTTTTTCGTATGGAATAGATGAAAACCCATTTCGCAAAATATAATTTACAATATCAGATTTATCAATACTTACGGTTTCTCCCATGACTTGAATTTTTTAGGTTAATTTACCTGAATTTGTTTACACATTTATTAAAAAAACTTTTATTTCAAAAAACCCTTTAACTATTTACGGCAGTGGTAACGTATCACAGTATTACTTTAAAAAATAAAAATAAATCACAGAAAGAAAAGCTAGTTCGTGCACTCAATATCACTTCACTTCACTACTTATCCATCCTCATCCCGAATAACATTTTATCCCACGCTCACAAGGTACAGTTCACGACCAATCACCAATACTTAAGAAGCATCAGCAAATTTAAATTTGCCGTACTTGGTAATTAACTTCATATGGAAAGAAATGTATGTTTGGTTGCTCATCAAGTAATATTCCGTGCATTTTTACATGTAAATATTGTAAATCGTCAATCTTGGGATCGGCTTGCCGAAACCCTGAAACGTGACTATTTAAGAATTCACAGACCGATGCATGTCTCCGATTTCGGATTATTAATTTAAAAAGTGTCTTACATAGGGATCACTTAACGCTCAGATTGGACGAATTCTTTTAAAAACCATGAATAAAATTTAGTTATTTCACAGATATTTTTTTTATTTCACAGAAACAAATGACATCAACTGATTATTTGCCACAGTTAATTATTGAAATACTGATTAAATTAAATATTAAAAAAAAATTATAATATCTATAAAGGTGTGGGTCGGCACTGCCAACCCTGCCGGCCCTGACCGGCCGCCACTGGTAATCATACACACACCGAAATTCGTCATTAATGCAATCATATAAACTAAAAAAGAAGAAATTTAAAGCTTAAAAGTAGCTACTAATTACCAGATGGTATAAAAAGCAAAGATTAATTCCCGATAGAAAAGTGTTCGACAGGTACTTT